TAGGTGAAAACAGTTATCGCCCATCCCTAATTATAGCATAGTTTTCAACATGCATGTTACAAAGTTTGCAAATTGTGTACATTGGGGACCTCTTTAATAAATTTGTCTTGGCTGTAGGTAAATAAAACGTATTATTTCCACGGTAGTTCCCTCGAGGAATATGAAAGTTCAACATTCTTAATAAATCCGGTGCATCAATGTCATCATGTAACAATTTATACAGGAACGCAAGACTACATTCTTTCCGACGCAGTTCTAATGACACCATGCCCGACATTGATAGCAGAGCTTGATGATCAAGGTTTCTTTCAGGATATATTCCATGATTTTTATGATATTGAATTCACATTTCTTTTTTATGTCCATTATCAAGGAACCATCAGATCATAGTGTGAAATGGTGCATTATTAATTCCCATCACATTAGCTGGGTCCTACTGATTAAAATTTGGTCTGAAAAAAATTTTTTTTTTTAAATAAATATGATTATAATTATTAAAACTTAGGTGGACCAATGCATTTGTATTATGCCGATATGATACTGCGGAGCACAGTGCTGTTAACCTAGGAAAAAATTGACCACATCAATGGTTACATATATTGTTTCTTGTTTTAGAAACTTTGGGCTCTTTGCGATTTGACTTCGGGACTCTTGTTGACGAAGGCAACCAATTACGATTTAAAAGATTCTCCATCCGAAACGCGTATTCCGACCATGTATTTTTATCCCCAAAGCGATTTCATCAACACGCGCGTTTTCCTTCCGCCCGATCTACAATATCAACCAAACAAGAAAATGGCCATCTCCTTCTCTATGGTCGGTCAAGATAGGCCAGCAAAGAGGACGAAGAATAAGCCAAAGCAGGACCAGTGCAGTCCTTTGGGAACTGATGTAAAGGTAAATTCTTGTTGCAAATGTTGAACAAATGTAGGTAGGCAACATTTTTTGTTTCATTTGCTTTATTTGATTAACACTAACCAGGGTTCAGCGAAAATGGTGATGTGTGTGTGTATCTTTCAAGAACTTCACTTAATCTTTTGGTATGCAGAATTTAAACATGTCGATAGATTTTATTCACTTATCAAGAGTAGTTGTTTAAAATATGTGGCCAATGGTAGGTATTCTGATTCTAAAAGAAGTCTTGTCTATAATCCATTTTAATGTTTAAATTGTCATTTGAAATTTTAAATTCAATACTGTATAGATGCACCAAACTACCAAAACAACTGTATAGCAGTGACTATATCATTAGCAAAACAAAAAGCGATCACATAAACATTAACAGCATGATTGTGCTAGCAAAACTGGGTGCTGGGTGTTGTATAGGCTCTGTTGCATCTATGGCTCATCTTTAATGGGAAAAATGGAACACCCTTTCACTCTGTATGTTTACTTACCATTGACAATATTGAATGTTTATTTGTTTTGATGTTTATTCTATGTCGTTAGTAATTATTATGTTTTTCATTACAATAGCTTTATGCTGGAGGAATTGATGCCCAGGTAAGAATTTTTCTTTATTATTGAGGTTTCATATTTTTTGCAAAATATTCTACCTTGTACCAAATGGAGCCCAGCTATACATAAATAAACTGTTTTTTAATTTCAAAATTCAAAAAATTTAAATTGTTTTTTAGTTTGTTGAATCGTTTTTGAATTTTTTTAATATCCTTGTGTTATATTTTTAAAAGATAATAGACCATCTATTTAGACTCTAGATCTACAAGGTGTTCCATTTCAAAAATTGATAAATTTTTTACCTGGCTCAGTATACAGGCCGTGCGCTATAGCATGCTGAATAAAGGTGCAGATTGAATATGACATCAGCAACTGCCGGAAAATCTTGTTGATTGAAATTCCTACTTTAGTGGCGTTCATTTAAGCGTATCTTGCGCTTATAATATCATGCTCGTTATTATGACTTATGTACTGCACTGGAAATTCTGAAAACACATTGTGCATATCTTCCTAAGTAAATATAGCGTCATTCTATTCCTTACGCTAGCGAAAATATTCAAAGTTTCTTTTTCTTTCTTGTTTTTTTAATAACAAACAATTAAGGATCCTATAAAAGTGTCAAAAATAGGACATCCTGTATAATTCATGTCAGTAGTTGCCATTTTGAATTTCATTTTTTGTGAAACTTATAATGAAAAAGGCATATGTTATTCGAAATGAATCAGTTTCAAAAATTTTTAAACGATAATCGGCACAAAACTGCAAAATATTTAACCTAACCTATCTTCACTAATATCAAAGTTAGCCATGCACCTCACTCGATCTGGAACACCCTGTATGTCACATGTTTTTACAGTCGTCATTATCTAGCATGTCTGTTCATGGTGTAGGTGTAGGCTTTGGTCCAAGATTCTGGCGTCGGAACCTCATTAACCCTACACTTCTTGAAAAACTTGTTAATATTAAAAGTTGTCAGATAGGCTTACAATAAAAATAATTTCTCTTATACAGGATGTACCAGAAACCCCGAACATAACCTTAAAACCTGAGAAATATTAATTTGTGATGCACACCAAATTGAAATAGCAGAGCCATTTTGTTTTTGACAAATAGGGGATAGATTACCCGTTCTAACTCATCTTTGAAATAGATCAAAAGTTAACTTTGATATTAGGTGTCAAAAGGAACCCTATAATTAACACTATTCAATCGAGAAATGGAAACTATTCAATCGCAATTACTTTCTATACCAAAAATTAAAAAAAAACGCGAGATTTCAGTCGTTTTTATCAGCAAAGCTCTATCACTACTTTGATGTATGAAAATCAAGGGTGGCTATGAACTGGAATGTGAATGACACAAATAAAACTATACCATTCCGTTTGACCACGCCCATAAATAACAAGTTTTTTGAGAAATGCATAGTTAAGTATCTTTCGACGCCAGAATCTTGGGGCATCCTGTATATTCATTTTTTGTCAATTGAGAGGTCGCTTGATGTTTCGTGGAATATTTTGCAAGAAAGTGAAACCTAGAGAGAAACCATTAACTATCAAGAAAATTTATATTGACATTGATTCTAGCCATCGGAGGCCTCCGAAACAAAAATACAGCTACCCGTTTTGGATGACGTCGAACCACCAGCGAAGAGATTGCGTGAAAAAATTGACTTAGAGAAATGATCAACTTAACATTTGAACACCCTTTGTTTTCTTTTTAAACAGTGTGGCGTTTGTATAAAGAAAAGTCGTCGCGAGCACTTTTGGAACAATGTGAAAGTTGATAGGCAAAAAAAGCATGTATTAATTTTTTTGTACATATGGTTATATACTAACTTTTTTAACAATAACGAACGAAAAATAAATTTCATCTCTTCAGTGGTTTACGTGTTTATTCTGCTGCTGATATAATTTTTGGATTAAATTTGTATAAAGCCTTGTATTTCGTACATAAATCTCAATAAGAATTCTGTCAAGTTAATGGAAATAAAGAAATATTTTGTATATGTTTGTAGACAGAATCATTCCATAAGTACGTAATTTAAAAATAGTTTGTGAGTAAATTGTTACATGAAATACATAATACTATTACGTTTTCAGGATTCAAATATTTAGTACGAAGGATGCCTATAAATTTTAGGGTAAGTTTTGCTATTAAGATTGATTTAAATGATAATTATAAATATCTTTTTTGTTTAGTGATGCGAGTAATTGTATTTTTAATATTTTTTCAGTTATATCAAATTTTTGTCTTATTTTATGTTCATCTATGAATTTTAATAGTTTGTAAGAATTGTCACGATGGTTTTGTCTTTTCTAATTAAATATAAAAATTTTTATTTTTTATTTCAATATGGTCGCTCGTATGTACAGGTAGGATCAAAAGTTATGTCCTACAGATACATCAATTCTACCATTTTCTTTACAATTTATTTCAACTTCGTTTCTAAATTCAAGTTAGTCTTGAAATAACCAAAGCACCATAAAACCAGAAAAATTAAATTTTGGTTTATACTTGCACAAAGCACACTGGCAATTTTCGAGATTTGATACATCTATGTGTGTAAGATCATAAGCTGGAAGAGGCTTCCATGCTCTCGATGAAATAATACTGATGAAAAGAGCAAATGAGCAAGATTATTTTTTTGAAAAATATAAATAAAATGAGCAAAGGATGAAAATGGTAGAACCATACGCACCGAAAATATTGAGCTCAGTTTTTTTTGGAGCAGGTTAGACGCAAGCTGACGAACCAAGGAGACATGTATTGGTGCGACAAAGCGATATAGCATACATTCAAAAATGAACACTTTGCAACTAGTAACACGTCACATAAGAATGGCCGAATGTTATACTTCAGAAAGTAGTAATTGGATGGTGGTGGATTCATAACCTTGGGTCTATTTCATGTTTTCTGATCTACTTAAGGGACCTTATGTACGATAAAAGGCGGTTAAAATTACGAATGTGATAGACAAACGATACTTGGTACAAAACAACATCGCATTTTCAGATAATAAAAATGTGACATAGGAACACCCTATATAGTGATTTTATTAAATCTTAATTATTTCAGTTATGTTTATCTGTGGTTATTTGAAGTATTTTGGACCTATGTCTATGATTTTGGATATGAAACTTTGAAGCTGTCATATGATGTATATAATCCATATATATATGATATAATCTTACTCGTAGATATAATCAAAGACTATACAGGGTGTCTGATGTCACTTTTTTGTTATCTGAAACATGCGACGTTATTTTGTTTTTTTAATTAAAGATTGGGATTCCGTGGAAAATACACCTTTGTTAATTGAACGGTCTTCCTAACTCATACAACTAGGAAAGTTAGCAATAGTGCTGACCCAATTTGGAAGGTACTGATAGAATAAACAATCCTATGTTAAAATCTAATTGAATTTGTATTTAGAACCTATTGTATTCATCTAGACACCACCCTTTCAGATACAATCGATAAACCCAGCCATGGATCTTCTAAATTTTCAGACTTGTAGGTGGATTGATCATAATCATTAAAAATCTGTCATTACAATATTTTATTGCCCTGTACATTATTCCTATTATTAATAGTAATCTTAATCTGCCTCTTATGTTCGTCTTTAAATGCCTCACTGTTAATTTTCTTTTCACATCTTCTCTCCTTCCTGTACTCTCTCAATAACCTTTTCCTTTCCCTCTTCTCTTCTAAGGTTTCATCAGGAGGACGAATTGAAAGTGTGGATAATGTCGAAATTATTGATTTGGCAGCAACTGACGTGGGTCCATTGTGAGTTCTGTTATAGTCTTCATTTAATTGGGATAGAGCTTTTGATGTAAGTTTACTGGAGTTTAGGATGTCTACTGGAATACCAGTTCTCATGTTCACTTTGATCTTTGTTGGCTAGAAATTTGTAAAATATAACGAAGGTTAACAAGTTGTAAGTACTCACCTTAGGGTCTTTAATTAGCTTAGGATGATTGTAAATATTGGAATATGTGCTTAATATTGATTCGCAATCCCACTTTTCCCTTTCAGGAACACAAATTTTGACTAATTCTTCTTCATTTTCAAGATCGGATTCTTCGTTTGGCTTATAAATTACTTTACCATCTTCCTTGTATAGATTTTCCTGCTCTTTCCTTTTTCTATATTCATCAGCATAACGTAACAAAAGGTCTGTAGCATCAGGTATGTGTCCCTCAATCTCATCTAAATCCAAAGCCCCAATTTCGGTATCATCGTAAGTCGCATACAACTAAAACTACCTAATCTAGTAAAACCATTAATTATATATATACGGGTGCAACCTGCTCAAATTTATCATCTAGTAGTGTTAACTGATCATTTCGTCTCATTACAGAACTACTCATTGAGTATTCAGTAAATCGTGATTTGGTCTCTTCATCTCTGAAAGTATACTCACGATCCTCTAATGAGTTTACTGCATCTAGGGCTTCCGAATCAAAATCAGAATCAACATCAGATTCTACATCTTCATCCACTTCAGCATTAGCGAGTTCTATAAAATTATCTTCCAATTCATTTTCCGGATCATCATAATCAAAATCTTCATCCATAGCGGCCACTACGTCTGGGTCCAAATCAGGTCTGGGCCCTAATAGAAGTGATATTACAATGTAAACAGCAAAGTAACTTACCTCGATGTGGTGCAGCCTTATTGAGGAGACCAACCTTTTCTTCAACGGTAGATGCGAATACTGAACTTGGTAGTTGTAATTTAGGTTTTGCAATAGCTTTTGCATCTGTGCCAGACTGCTCAGGTACCCATTCAGCCGTCGAATTAACATCTCGTAAATGTTGCAAGTAATTATAGTCATCATCATAAAAAATTCCGTACTTTTCCTGCTCTTCTTTGCGCTTTGTGGGGCCCTATTGACAAACATTTTTAAACGACCAAATCGCAATAGGTTACGTTACTTTATTATTCGTTTTCTTGTGTAGTGGGATCAAAACATGTTGCGGGGCAGATTCGTCTGCTGCCAAAGGATCCTGTTGACTTCTGTGCACTAGATGGAAAGTGACCGCATTCTTACGGTCAATGAATTTCTTTTTATTCTTAGGCTAAAAATAAATAAACGTTGCAAATTTATTTTTCAAGAAATTAATATTTACCATAATTACGACTTTAACCTAAAAAGCACGTTGTCAAGAAGAAAAAATATTTAGGTTTGACAGTTGGCGAACCAGTGAACACTAAACAACATCAATTTGTGGTACCAAAACGGTTTTCCTTCTACGGTACAATCGGATAATGATATATATATATATGTATAATATTTACTATACAATGCGGATAGTACAGATGTTCGCACGACACCTCAATTTATCATTTACGGAACAACATGAAAAGTTTGAAGAAAGAGTTTCTCTCTTACGATTACCCTTATACCTTTTGTTAATACATTATGTTGTGAGATAGGTAGCTGAAATGTACCTAAGTTTTGATTTTCGTTGAAAAATAATCAAAAAGGAATTCGCGATTCAGATTAACACTAGAGGCGCTGATGTAATTTACAAATACGCGTATTTGCGCCGGTTGGTAAATATTATTGGGTTTATTCTAACTGGTTTTTAAGTGAAATTGTACTAATTGGAAAATGAATTGAATTTATCCTGCCGTTTGTAAGACTTTAAAATATAACCCCTTAATCCTATCCTACCTGAAAGGCCTTTTTCTTAAGAATTCGAGGCTGTCACAATGTGCTGCCACCAGAGGTCTCAGTGTTAATCTGAATCACGGCATCCCGTATCTTCACACTGAGTTTTGCTTGGCAGGAAAAGCTTCTCGAAGCAGAGCCTTCCATTCTCCCCGGGTGTGACCAACTGTGGGCTGGTTTCCAGGCCCCGGGCAGTTTTTAGCGCCCTGTGCTATGTTTACCCCCGTAACTAATGTTTACAATAGTAAATTGCGTGCTTAGTGACCCAGCTTGATAGGTAGAAATAAGCACCTTTTACTACAGGCGTTGAATGATAAGTAAAATAAATTTAGTTTTGCAGATTTATTTTGACAGAAATTATCCACAAGCCCAAATCTAAACTGCAAATATTAAGAAAACATATAACTTAGCACACTCTCCCCCCCCCCCCCGAAACTTGTGCCATGGGTTCTAACCCAGTTAGTTTTACGGTTATTAATTGTAGGTAACAAGGTTTTCCATCTCATTGATCAAGAAGGGGTTTTAGCAAAGCACAAAAACAGATAGTGTTGCATTGTTTAATTACGACAAATATGTAGTTAGATTAATAAAATAGATGTAATACTAACAAAAATACCTGAAAATACTTTTTGTATCTCCACAATTCTTCAGACGTTCACTATAAGGTTTGTAACTAAAAAATAGAAAGCTCTAAGGCTATTTATACATAAATAACATCAATATTTGATGTAACATATCACAAGTTAAAGTTTTTACTATCCATTAGATGTTGGTAAGTAGGTATAGAACATGCTAAAATCCGAGATAGTGGTATAGCATAATATAATCTTATACAATATTGTGTCAACTATTCTAATACTAAAATTGCATTGCTAATGAAACAATGACAAAAATCTAATTTCTTGTAAATTTCCCAGTTGTTTAAACCATTTTTGGTTTTATGAATTAGACTTTTGCCATGTTCTTACGCTGGGTATAGAATAAAAAAAATATTGATATTTGGCATGCCATTACATTAATATGCTATTGTCAAAGTTTTTGTATTAGTAGGCTAAAAATAGGTATAAGTAATCTTGTTTTTCAATAAAACATTATTCAATTTTACATGGTAAATACATAAAGAAACCTCAATGTGAGATCGAAAATAAATTTGTGTGACTAAATTAACAACAAACAATGAAACAAAACTAAGGCAGAGATCAAAACATTTTGCGCTTCATTCCAGAACAGCTAATGCTGTCGTCGCCATCAGCTAATTAACTTGATATGTTGAGAAAAATGTAAATAAACGAGCTCGCTGTTCTAGGAAAGAATGAAAATGCAACTTAACATTAATGAGTCTTTGTTCGTCAAATTAATTTGCATTCAAAACTAAAACGTATTATCACAAATAGAACTTCACACTTTCAGTATAGTTTAAGCACAAAGTACGTAGTGCATTTAAGAAATCGGTTCATTAAATTCCTCCGGTAAATAAATTCTTTGTGGTTGCGTTATATCCGCACGACACACCGGGCACCTTTCACAACGAGCAGCACATGATGAGCACGCGACAACGTGCGCACAGGGAAGAAATGCGGTGTCGATCTGCAGATCCATACAAATTTTGCAAGTCATGGCGTCCATGATTTTTGTTAACCGTTCGTGAGAACTCTGTAAAGAAAATTACATAAGCAAAATTGATATTTATAGTATGAGTTTACCACTACTGTTTTTATTTTTCAAATCAAATCACAACTTGTTTGTTATGCTAAATATGAAGCTGACGTCATTAAGGCCACACCTAAATATAATTGATATATCTTATTTGAAATGTGTGTTTGTGCCTGCGCATAGCAATTTTTAACAATGCCTATCAAAACAAAATGAACAAGCATTCATTTGTTACCAAACCCATTCAAATCTGTCATTTTTCTGTTTATTAAGGATCCTCAGATCCTTTATAGTTTTGTATTGTCGTCCGTCCGTCCGTCCGTCCGTCCGTCCGTGTGCGCTCTAACTCTTTTTTAAAGTGGCCGATTGTGTTGAAATTTGGTATACGGGTACGTTGGACATTAAGAACGGACGCTATTGATTTTCAGGAAGCTGGTTCAACAGGAACAAAAGTTATACGACTTCGAGTGAATGAATCGGGAACAGGAAAAACTGCGAACTCAATATAATAAAAATTAACATATTTCATTCCCTAGGTCATGTATCGAGTTCGGACTTTCGCTAGATTATTCCCTATGACTCTTAGATGTGTAACAATTCAATATAACTCTTCTCTGTGGTCTCGGTCAAAAGTTTTAGAGCAAAATGTACCCAAAATTATTCTTTACACATGAATTTAGAGTTGTAAAAGCTTTCAAACGCATTATCTTGATGCTGAAAGAGTTGATAACGTGCACGTTTGATAACCGCATGTGTGTGATTCAAAAATGTTAAATTATTTTTCTGAGGCCACATGGATTTTGATCAAAATATGTCAAAATCGTTAATTATGCACCAAGATCGTTGGGAAAAAGACTACGCGCATTATCTCAATGCCCAAGACATGAATTTGTGCATTTTTGGCGACCACGTGGATTTTGATCAAAACATGTCAAAATCGTTATTTATGCACCAAGATCGTTGGGAAAAGACTAGGCGCATTATCTCAATGCCCAAGACATGAATTTGATGAATTTTTGGCGACCACGTGGATTTTGATCAAAACATGTCAAAATCGTTATTTATGCACCAAGAGCGTTGGGAAAAAGACTACGCGCATTATCTCAATGCCCAAGACATAAATTTGATGCATTTTTGGCGACCACGTGGATTTTGATCAAAACATGTCAAAATCGTTATTTATGCACCAAGATCATTGGGAAAAAGACTAGGCGCATTATCTCAATGCCCAAGACATGAATTTGATGCATTTTTGGCGAAAACGTGGATTTTGATCAAAACATGTCAAAATCGTTATTTTTGCACCAAGAGCGTTGGGAAAAAGATCAAGAGCATTATCTCAATGATCTAAACATGAATTTGATCTATTTTTATGGACCACATGGATTTTGATCAAAACATGTCAAAATCGTTATTTATGCACCAAGATCGTTGGGAAAAAAACCAAGAGCATTATCTCAAAGCCCAAGACATGAATTTGATGCATTTTTGTTAACTATAAAATGTATTTTGTAAGATTAAAATAAATTGTCGTTAAAAGTGATTGTAATACTGAGGATCCTTCGATATTTCGTTGTATCGGTTTATTTATATAACAAGAGCGCGAAGTTCAATTTCGCGCATTGAGACTGAAGGTATTTTGACGAGGCGAAGCCGAGTTAAAATATCAGTCAAATGCGCGAATTAACTTCGCGCTAGCGTTATATACAATATTTTTTCTACAACTGAACCGATTGTTAATTAAATTTGCTGTTTAAGTTCAACTTTGTCCCGTGCGCGAAATACTTTTTTTCACTGTTGACGATTTCGCGCACGTTGTCAAGAGCAACTTTACTTATTAATTAACCGATTAAAAATCTAGTACTTTGCGTTTCGAAATCCGTCAGAAAATGACAGGTTTTTTTGACAGTTGTAGAAAAAAGTATTATATATTATTTAGAACAGCGAATTCAACATAAAGAAAGACCAAATTACTAAAAACGGTTTCCTAATATAACAATTTACAATAAATGTTCGAATAAGTCACCATTAACTGCAATACAGTAACCAAGTCGATCATAAAAGCCATTTCGAACTGCTGCTAATTGATAACTGGATATCTTTTTGTTTTAGAAAATTCCATGGCATCGCAGATTATTGAAAAAGATGGGGGTTTTATTTTTCCAATTTTCCGTCTTTATTAGGCAAAAAAAAATTAATACGGTTGATTGACTAACACATTTTTTTCTACAAAAAACCTAAAATAATTTGGGGAGCCAATAATCGCATGAATTTTACATTGAAATCCCTATGATGCGTTACGCAAGTCACCACCCTGTATACAATTTTTATCCAATGGTGCAAATAATTTCGAAATTCCCGCACTAATTTTGAAAATTTGACACCAATCAGAGCAGTGGAGTGACCTAACCTCTTTTGGTTGTTTTTAGCACGTGCCATAATTATCATTATTTGGGAAGTGCCTTCAAAATGGACAGTAATTCAGTTAACATAGACGCTGACAACTTCGAACCTGCAAAAAAGGGTGCAAAGCGTCGTGTCAATTCTGTCGGTGATGGATCTATGGAGGTGGATTCTCATAATGGTATCGAAGGTCGAAGTCGCAATAAACCACCACGTGCAAAGCGAAGTAAAACAACCTCGTTTTCTGAAACTAAAGAAAATGTACGTAAAATTCCTGTACCATCTCACCGATACCCACCGTTGAAAGAAAAATGGTTGAAAATATTTTCTCCGATTGTGGAACATCTGCAATTGCAAATTCGCTACAATGTCAGAACTCGAAATGTAGAAATACGTACGTGTGAAGAGACTAAAGACATAGCTAACTTGCAAAAGGCAGCCGATTTTGTTAAGGTAAACATCCAATCTTTCACCGCTGTAAACGTCACATTTTCATTGCAGGCATTTGTGTATGGATTCGATGTGGAAGATGCCCTAGCATTACTTAGATTGGACGATTTGTTTATTGAATCATTTGAAATTAAGGATGTAAAAACTCTGAAAGGTGATCATCAGTCGCGAGCGATAGGCAGATTGGCCGGTAAAAGTGGCCGTACAAAGTTCACAATTGAAAACGTTACCAAAACAAGAATTGTCCTAGCAGATAGCAAAATTCATATATTAGGCAGTTTTCAAAATATTCAATTGGCACGACGAGCCATTTGTAATTTAATCATGGGTTCCCCACCGTCTAAAGTATATGGACAATTGCGGAATGTAGCTGCTAGGGTTTCTGAGCGTGTTTAAATACTACCATACTTGGTAATTATAATTTATTGTGTATATTTTCGTTAGCATTAAAATTGTAATGTATTTCTTGGTATTATTTCTAATCGAGGATTTTTGGGAATTCTGTGGTATTTATTTTACATTACCCAATGCTTGTTAATCATGGCAAATAGGACAGGTTCTGGTATGCCAGTAGTATAGCAGTGTAAGCTTCAATCTACAAGGTGTCTCATACAGTGTACGTGGCACAACAAAAACGAAATTTGTAGGAAACAATGTACTTAAAGTTACTTAAAAGTGTGCATCCCTGTCATCGTTGGAGAGGGCTCTTACTTTCCTACATGCGTACGGTTTACTTTTAAAATTTGAGGGAGTCCTTTGAAGGATACAGGGTGTCAAATGACAAATAATGCAAATGGATATTCAACCTTTTACGTGAATAAACACATTCATAAGAAATATTAGCTACACAAAACAATCCTTTTGTTTTGTTTCCTGAGCCCTACAGTCAAGTGTTCTTCCAAAAGAGTTGGCGTAAACCTGCATGGCCTTGTAGATTTAATGCGCGTTTTAAATTAACATAGGAAATTAAAACAATCTAATCTAAACTTAACGGGACTGAAATTCTAAAATATTAATTTGCGATTTGCCCCCGTCTTCTAAATGGGATGAGCTTTTGGGCGCAAGAAAGACAATTGAAATATCTTGAAGGGAACGGTTGCAAACGGCGAATTATTCACAGCTTCTGTGACACAACTTTGCGGTGCCTACCTAGCTGACACCATGTTGCATATTTAGTCGATTTCATATTTGACATTCAAAAAGTTGCCAAACTTCATATATGTTAAGGCGCAGATAGAGTAGCAAGTTACTTGCGACTATCTCGCGCGAGAAACTTCCACATGTATTATACTGAGTAATAAGAGTCGCGATAAACTGTCCGGCAAGTTGGGTGAGCCATTGCTGTCGCAATTTCTCACAATGGTGTTTACACTAGCAGCTCTTTTAACTTCCGTAAATGCGGCGTTTTGGCGCCAATAGGGACATTGTGTTCACGGACAGATGCACACCATCGACTCCCTTTGCTCTGTTGCTTAATAATTTACCCTGGGTAATGTGCCCTAACAAAAAAAAAAACTGATTGAGTAAAACCAATTATATTTATTTATACAAATGTCTTGATAAATATGTGTATTTTTATATTTTATAATATCTAGTATCAACTACCCTATATCGTCAATTCAGTGCTGTTTTTTGCAAGTCTGAAATGTACAAAATTATGGGTACAGCACAATGTGCAAGTGATAAACAAACCTTGCAAATTGCGCCAACATAGTGGAGTTGAGCACAGATTTAGTGTACAAGTACTATTTCCACAGGAACTTGTGCCATCTGGCGAAAACTTCATTCTGAGTCGGCAAATAATATCCTCAACTGATTATTTTGCTTTGCATGATAATGGAACAAGCTGCTAGGTATAGGTACCGGTCGGTAAAAAGAGACTAGCTGTTCGCTTGTTACCCTTATTAGGTCATATAGTTCATCAGAACCAGAAAATGTTGAACTCTGACATGGGTCATGAGTCTCCAGGGAGTATGTAAATATAATTTAGAAGTACCTTTCCCATTTTCCTAGACATCCTTTATAATAGTTTCGTGTGCACACCTTTTTGTGATTCCAAAATATTGGATTAAATTTTAAAATTCCAGCTACAGGTGAGATAACACAGATTTATATTTTACAATATATAGCTAACAAGGAAGACTAATAATAGTCGCTTGACATTAATTACATTAGGTTTCTGCCTAGCCTAGTAGGTACTTTTATTTACAATAATAATGTGCAATAATTAGGAGTGTTCCTTCATTGATTATTTAATTCGTTGAAACTCTAGATGAAAGATGGGGTTACTCTGTAATAAGAAATGTTTGAAATGATTTCTACTATAATCAAAAGAGATAATTGTTTTACAATTATTTAAACAACTTTATCCGAGACTTTATCCATGATGGTGTACCTGATAAAAGTTTGAGACACACATCTTGAACAAAGTGTCAAATGATAAGGTATTCTGGATATGGATACACTACTGATACAACATATCAATGGACTGAAGATATGTACATGTTACAGATTTTCCCTTAAGGGAGTTAACAGAATACATTATCAACACCCTAATCATAGGACAATAATTCATTGATAAGATTTGATGTTTTGAGTGTATATCTAATAATCCATAAAATTTCATTACCAATCATCCACAGATTACCACATATACAGAGATGCCATAATTAAATTTGCATTAGCATTACTGTACCTTAGCAACATGGTATTGTGTAGAATTTCTATCTAAAAAATTGTACAAATAACAATGTTGTTACAAAATGTGCATGACAAAATTTAGCATGTTGTCAGATGGCCTTTATACAAAAATAAATTAAAAAAATTATGACTTTCATTATGTGCAGGGGAAAACTAATCTTTTTCAATCACGTTTGTTCTACACAAGAAATGTCGCATCACTGCTTGTTCTCCACAGTTCGATCGTTACCATCCTGATTATTCTTTCAACCCCTACCTTTGCATGGCTCGCACTTGTTCTTTGACTTCCTCGATTTGCTGTGCAGATCGCATAATAGAATCATACTGATAGCCAAAATGTATATGCAAAAGTTGCAATTTCTTCAAGTTAGCTTCACTGTTATCCAAGGCGTGCTCTTGTAAAGCGAAATTACGAGCTGAATGCATTATTATCTATAATCAACTGATGTAAAGTGATGGAACAACTATCTAAACCAATACCTCGCTACTTTTTGACCCCTTAATGATGTGCCTTGCTAGGGAAGCTACATTGTTGACGTTGACTTGCACTCGATCAGCTAAACGCATTTTAGAATCGGCAAACAGAGATCTAGCGCTTGTACTACTCGCAGATGCCATATTCAATTCTTCTCACTGAAACGTTAAGTTTATTATTTCAAAACTTTTGATTCTAATATACATTATGATAAAATAATTCTAACCTTCAATTAAATCTAAAAACAAAACAAGATCGATGACTGTCAAGTGTCAAATTTGTATTTCAGATGACATGACAACAATGCAGAGGAGTCAATTTTCATACAAGGAACTACTCTCATACATTTTATAAATTAAAACAATAGAATGATTAATTTTAAACGTCTCGCCAGGAAAGATTGCCGGTCACAGAACACTTGAACTTCCGGGATAGTGTCGTGTCAATGTTGAACAAAAAAACTTTTCGTTCAACATTGACACGATTCTATTCCGGAAGTCGCTCGCATCTTAAGAAAAACATAGATTGTAGATCGACACAAGGTGTGCTGTGACTGGCAATCTTTCCTGGCGAGAGTAATATGTTGAAAGCAAACAAGTTGACATAGTGAGTGAGTGATAGGTTGGATCGGTAAAATCAAAGCAGGATATACTTATAATTACAAGCCGTGCAGATGTAAATTTGGAAACGATAAACTGAATATAAAACGGTCCTTATTACATACATTAATTTATAACATCAGTATTAATATTTATCACTATACTTGCAATCACATGTATAATACCTACTTAAATAAAATTGAAACAGAAGCGTGGATTTCATTCACAAATTTTACCACATGGATGTTAAAAACTGGCGTTAGATACAATTCAATTTACTTAATATATCAAATATTAAACCTTCTCGAAAAAAAATTTTGAAGGCATATACAACTTCACAGAAAAAGTTTGTCACACTTGTTTTAATTCCTTATCATGGCAAATACATTGTGATGTCTCGATAACGTTCTAGAAGGTTCGCAACAATATGTTGAAATTACCTTCGAATTGTTTTTGAGGTATCTATTATTTGTAACGAAGCACCCGGAATTTCTGAGTGGAGTTTGCCGTTTACGAGGACCACCCGGTATAGTACCGATTGGTTAGGGGCTTCGTTACGCAAGAAAACCATGATTTCGAGAAGTTTCCGCGATGTCATGAAGACAAGGGGATACCGTAATTAATTAACCCGTTAATGTTGGAATTTTGGAATTATTTTTGTAACTCTTAAACGAAGGGTCTTGTTTTGGAGAAGACGAAGGACAATTAATATGTTTTGGTTTCAGCGCCGTTAATTGTTTATAAGCTGATTTAGTTCCCAATAATAAGTAAAAGCAAGGATAGAACAAGTTCGAAGCGAGTTGTTTTGCCCGCTATCAGTTAGTGTCGTGCCTGCAAAAATTAAATAACCGCCACCTGCTCTGAGTCCGAAAACATACCTACAGTTAATTAATGTAATAAGTCCATTCCATGAGCTTTCGTTGTGTCTTTTAAGTATGTATAATTAGCATGCACTAATTAAATGAATTATATTTAAGGAGCGCCAATTGAGACGATTGTGGTATCAAACTTTGCGCGCTTAATTAAGGAATCGATTCCCAGATGTTCGGGAATTTTAGGACGAACAGGAGCCGAGTAATTAATTCAAAATGGAATTGATTTGGTTTCGATTTCGTATTGTATACGCGACGGTTTGGATTTTCTGTGTTCCACTTCTACCAAATTGGGTTACCTTTATAAGCGAAACGCTCAATTAGGAAGGGATATTTTTCTGCTTCATACTTTTGAGTTGTAAGTACGTCAGTTGATTTCTCTAATTTGCGAAACCATATCATTCCAAATCAACCGAAACCCTTTTGTTTTACCGTTTGAGAGACCGTAAGTCAAGCCCTGTATTACGATATTCTCAAATAGCACGTTAACACGGGTTGCTTTCAAAATTCCTAAAAAAATTAAGTAGGTACCTACCTGTCCTACCCCGATCGCTACAATTATCCTACGTTTTCACGTGGAGGTGCATATATACAATGATTTGTTTAATCATAAGTTATTTTACACCTTTCAAAAAAAATAAAAAATTCTTTAATTATGTTAAAATCTTTGAATATAAAATTATATTCAAAGGTTAAAATCCAATATATGTATATGGCAGGCACAACTTTTAAAACTTGAAATAAATGCGAAAAAAAATTATTACAAGCAGAACCATCTATCGTGGTTTCGCGCCACTTTCAAAATCTCCGTCAGTTTTCAGATTCGGTGGCAAGAACAGGACTCCTAAGTTGTGTACTTGTGTTACACTATTGAAGTGTCTGATTTCAAATTTGAAGCTACGGGCACCGCTAGCGTATATAGGGACACCGGCTGGAAATACGTTAGCCTCGAAACAATGCTGCCATTTTACAAAAGTGTCGCAAGGTCCATTTAGGCCGATGCGAGAATGCAGGAGCGGGACAGACTTGGGTATGCAAGTATACATGCCGATGTGGTGGTCCTCACGCATATTCCGCTTTAGAAATATATCCCGCATAAGTCCCTCTCCCATTCCCGTTTGAGTGAACCTATAATTAGTAATTTTTAAACAATATTAGTCTGTATGTGAAGGAAATAGTGCATTGATTTAGATTTGCCGATTTTGCACTTTGTTCAGTTCAATCAGGGCAGGTTCATTTGAATTGTAGCCGGTAGCGCCACTGCTTTCTACGTTCAGTCAGGGTAAATGAATTTGTTTTAATTTTCTATAATAATTCAAATTTTGTGTACCTACCTTAGTTTGTGCTACACGTATATCAAAAGGTAAGGTGCTTAGTTGTAATTTTAATTCTTCGTTTTATTAGCGACTTCAATTCTTTGTCTATGAATCTGCCCTTTTAAAATGTCTTTAACTGTTTGGCCCTTGCAGAGGTGAATGCCGAAGTTATAAAATTAAATACAACTTTAGTCTAAGGTTACCGTATTCAGGACCTTCAAATACCTTCTGGACTGGAGAAGGCCCGGCTATAGATTATTTCCCACAGTTACCTCTCTTGCTCCATATTTCCCCCTATATTTATCCTCTATGAACAGTGATTTGGAATTTTCCCCAGCGCGGTTCTTTTGTCGGATGAGTTCTAGGAGAACACGGCATACCTTTGGCTTTAAATGTATTCTGTCGAAATTTGTAGTAATCTTTCGGTACTTTTTTAAATTTTGCAGTTTTGTTCACGTACACGTCATTAAGATAATGTTATCTCCACTCCAAGACCGATAGACTGACGCCAAGACGTTCGAACTACGCATATACAACTCAATGTTTTATTTAAAAAAATGGTCCTCAATTTTATCAAGAACTTATGGATCTCGATTTACTAAAATTTTAGACTGGAGAACACTCTAAAGTTTAATGGGAACATCTGGCACGCTGTCTAATACAACAGACAACATACATAAATACAAAAAAATGTATCACCATTACAATAAAAAAATTAAATCCCTTTAAAAATACTTCCAACATTTTGGACAAGCAATATGTCTCGAATAACGTGAATTTTAAAACTAGTATAAAAATGCATAGTTATTGTCCGTTTTTTATTTTGTTTACGGTAACAAATATGATTAAGCATTATTATACACAATCTAATCGGAGTCAAATGGAGTTATTCACCTATGAATAGAATAGGTAATAATCTATTGTAACTACCTTTTCCGTAAATACAGTTGTAACTTCAAGGTTAGGCACGTTGGACTTACCCGAAGTAGAAAAAGAAGAGGAGTTAATTTCAGTCGCACATCCATACATCTACCTTATGTAAATATATTGCAAATATATACGTTTGTTTATATGTTGAATAGAATTTACAAATAAATAAATTATTGTTAAATTATTGTAGTACGCATTTCATTATGTATCCAAAGATTAGGTTCACCCTGATTTATGTTTTTAAACAGAACTTTAAAAGGTGTATAATTTAAACTAAAACCAGACTTGTCAAATTCTCATTAAAAATGAAGATTTACGGTGGTACATGGCTAATCGGATGTAATTAAATAAAAGGTGAATGGAAGATAAAATACCGCCATGTGTGGAAAAAAATATTGTATCAAAGATGAAATTCATTCGCTCATTCCTTCAGTATATTTATTATCCTCCTCTAATCTTCCACTTCTTCCAAGACATATATTTTCTTGTTACCTTTTACCTATGTGACGTACGTACGTACGTACTTTATTTCTCGTTGGTGCCCTTCATTATGTATATCACACTCACTCTGTCGCCCATCCTACTGACCGTCTTTATTAGGACTTGCTACCATTCTTTGTCATTATTCCAACGTTTGTTATACCGTGGATAATATTCACACTAATTTTAATTGAATTAAAGTAACACTAATAACGTTTTTTAATATTTGATTAATTGACATTTACTAATCATTATCATGTGTCTTTTTCTTCCGTCCCATGGCATAGTGGAACAGACGCTGTAGCAAAACTCGAATCAGAATGATGGCGCTTTAGTATAATGGTGGCTAAAGTCACTAAATATAGAAAGTACCGCAATCCATTGGACTCGTGTGTTAGAGAGAGAACGCATGATTTTTGCCCAAAAATGGCGGAAGTTACCAGATTCTAGTAACTTTAATGTTAGGGATTGTTCCACCTGTTTGGAGATATCTGTATATATGTTTATAAAACATGACAGTACTATGAAGTTAGGTTATAAAAAATGACAGCTATCAGATTTTATTTGTCAATTTTTTTAAGTTGGCAGCAAATTTGCCCAAAAATGGCGGATGATTGCGGTACTAAGTGACTTTAATGGTGGCAGTGTAACAAAGCACATCCTCTTCCATTATTTTTATTTAGCAATTTTATTCGACTAATCACATTTTCTTTCCTTTCTTCTCTGGATTAAAAAATATAAGTAATTACCAGCCCTTCATTGGAGCCCTCAAATCTAATTTTTGAACCCAGTGAGAAATTTCATTAATTAAATTTACTTTCAAACTTGATCGAAAATTCAAAATTTATTTTTGAAAGAAACTCCCAAATTCTGTATTAAAACTCGCTTGACTGGATATAAAGCAAATCTTTACCTTGTAGTACAAGATCGCACATAAAGTTAATTAAGGCTAGACTAATTAATTAATTAATGTTTCCGTCTGCTGCTTCCATTACATGGAAAGGGCGCATACGCACTCTTTTACATTCGAAGCTGCGTCCTTCTACATACTGTGCGATCAAAAATGAGTTGCTGTCGAGTCACCT